TTGAAAATTGACAGATCTCTTATTAGTAGATATCATCTTATCATGATGATTTTCTTTATTTAAATCGTGAAAATATACTAGAATAGAGCGAAAGAAGACGATTGCGATGGGGAGCATAATAGAAACTTGATTTTCAAAATATATCCGCAGATCCGTATTCAAATGCATTGGATAACTTGACATGTATATAGAATAACTGACAAACCTTGAACGTTCTCCTCTTCATTGTTGATACGACTGCCTTCAAATTTTAACTATGCCGTTCGGTGTACAATTTTTTGGTTACCATCGTGACACTTTTTTTAATAGATAACATTTTGCAATTTCGCGTGAATTTTTAAAAAGAAAATTCAATTCGAACCCGTCCTTTTTGTGTACTACAGCGTTTGTATTACAAGAATATATTACGTTTCTGCGCAATACCTAGAAGGATTCGAGTTAGATACACCTCTGTCTGTCTGTCCGTCCATCCGTCCGTTCCATTTTTTTGTGTGCAACCTAATTGCCACAATTTTTGAGATATATTTTGATGAAATTTGATACGCTCACTGGGTTTTTTAACCCAAAGCCGATCGCTACCGAACATATTTCGAATCGGATCGCTTTTTCTACCACTCCCCATATAACAACTTATTATTGAATATTATTATTGAATATTATTTCAATAATTGTGTTAAGTGACCGGTGAATCGTTATTGTATTTTCATTTATTTAAAGTAATTCTTCAAAAAAAATTCCACGAACCTTACTATTCTGAGCTTTCTAAAGTACACAAAACTTTTTAAAAATAACACATTCCAGTTGTTTATGTATTAATGGCTGAATGAATTGGAAACATGGAAACATGCAAAATTTCAACCGTACGCTTAACAAACCGACTTTTAATGTCGTACGCAACAGTTTTGCTGCATTGTTGCATCTATGTAAAAATAAATGTCGAACAACGAGCTGATGTTAAATTTCATTTTAAACTTTGTGAAAGTTTTTCTGCAACGTATCCCTTATGTTTACAAATGTTTATCCCGTAGTAGAGTACATCGAGTGGTACAAGCGCTTTAACGATGGTCATAAAGACGTAGATTATGAGTAATTGAACACTATTCGCTACGAAATTACATTTTAACAGTTAAAGCTGCAATAACGATTACAATATAAAGAACGTAATTAATAAAGGACATCTCATTAAAACCAATATTAAATTATATAGAGGTGGCTTAAGGGCATATGGTTACTACTTTGACGATTAATCATTTAACATCATGATTTCATGAGAATCGGAGCAATGATCAAATAAATAGTATTTATCGTTAAATAATTGACACAGTTGAATGAACACATTAAACAATTGCGAATTCGTCCTATGATGCCGTATTTTTATACATATTATATATATATATACATATATATATATATGCCGATAGTTTGTACTTGGACGTTGGAAGTCAACTGTTTGTTGTGACCTTGGAACGGAAATATTTAAGAATGAACGTAGTACGAAACGTTTTGCAATTCCGTAAGCCTTAGGCGAGTAATATAAAATGGTAAGACTAAAGAAGGATTCCTTATGGAAAATGGTAAGTATAAGTAAGCAGCCTGCTTAACGAGGAAATTGACGAAAAGTCCCGGGAAATATGTCAGTTTGGAGAATTAGAAAGTATATTAAGACGAAGTCTGTCAATCGTGATATGTTCTCTAAAGCCATAAAGGTGCAAAAGATTTGCTTAAGACGAAGACAGTGCATTCGTGATAAGCGAAGCAGGAAGTCGATGACATGTGAGTGAGTTCAACAGAGTGAAGCACTGTACAAGAATAAAATTCTAGTTCGTTCTATAATTTGTAACTAATTTCCTACAAATAGTTCTCCTACACTTCTAACTAAATTTTAACGTTTCGTTACGCCAAGAAAGACTAAAAAAAAGAAAAAAATTAAATCTTTATTATCTATAATTTTCAATGGGCGCGGCTGAATTTTGTTTATTTTTAGAATAAAAGTAGAAAATTTTATGATGTATGTGTTGTACACTATGAGTAACAGGCAAAAACCCGGTAAGGTATTCACAGTTCACATACATATACATGTGTGTTTTGTAATCGTGTCGCTTGACCAATTTGAGTCATTTTCAAATTCTTTTGCAAATTTTTCGGCGATATCGTGCTTTTTACGAGCGAGAAATTGTTTACCACAAATACTACATAGTCAGGAAGATAGATTGAAGGACAGACGAATGGACGGATATGCTTAGGTGTATTGGTTGCTCGCTTCTGCGCGCAACGCTATTAAAAAAATCACATTTTTTTACACGATAATATTAAGTAGGCGTGGTTAATTTTTCTCACTTTTGCACAAAAAGCATTTCTCAAAGCATACAGTATACGCTCAAATTTTTGTAGGTTTATCTGCTATAGTTTATTACTTTTGCAATAGGAAGTTGTTACTAGTTTACGTAATACTGTAGACGTGCCTGTGATTGACTTCGTGCCATATTTGAAGCCGATAACTTCATTTATGCGGCCAATAGATTATTTACAACAGACATTACAAAGATGGACAGACGGACATACTTAAATCGATTCAGAAATTGATGCTGATCAAGAACATGTATAGTTTGTGGCATTTCGGAAATTTCCTTCTGGGCGGGGCATTCGCCTTTCAGTGATGAGTACAAAAAGAACGGAAATGCATTTGATAGATAAGCAGACGTCCGTAATAAAAGCTCTTCAAATCGGCAAATTCTATAGTAAGATACTATCCCCGAAACACGAAATGCGAAATACTCTAAACATTTATGAAAATAAATCTAAAATATATCGCACATGTAAATGTTCCATTAAATTTGGGTAACGCTATCCTACATAAATTTACCTAAATACTAATCGATTTTTGTAACAAATTAAATTCCAAAACTGTTTCAACCAAATATATATTTACAATATTTTACCGGCCACGCAACCTGGCGTCTGGCGAAACAATTAACAACAATTTGCAGACCATTTCACAACTGGAAAGGGATTAGCGTAAAAATGTCAAAGTCAGTCGAGTCATGTGCCGCTTCTTTGCCAAGTAGACATCGACGATATCATAGAAAAGTTTCACTGTCAGGTATACATAATCGGAAGAAAAGTAAAACAACAGCTAACGAGAAATATCGACGCTACTACTAATCGACATTATTTCTGAAAGAATGCCAAGCTTCTTCCATAAGCATATCCAATTCGATAAACGCAAAATTTCAAGATTTTTAAAAATCCAACTTCTTTGCACACAAAATCCTCTGGACCCCTTCCCCTTGTATGCAGTGCAAGTGATATGAAAAATGTATAAACTCCATTGCTAAGAAAATATGTTTTGTACCCTGCACCATTGGTTACATAGAAATAAATTAAGTGCGGATGTATGCAACATCCAAATACACTTGAGGTAGACTCAATTTTTATTTGATTTAAACTTGTCTGTCCGTCTTATTGTTTTGTGTGCAGCTTACAGCAACTTGCAAGTTTTGTGACATTTTAATGAATTTTGGTGCCAATCGCGAACGCTATCGAAAATGGTACAGATTGGACCACTTTCCCGATCGCATCTCATATAAGGACTTATTTTGAAAAGCCGTTATTTACATGACTATACGATTGCGTAGGGTATTTAATAGTGAACCGGCTTAAAATATAATATTCTGTTTTCATTTTTCATTCTATCGATTATTTGTTATAATTTCAAAAGAAATTAGTAGATTAATACGTCACAGTTTCGCTAACTATCTACCAAATGTTTTATTCATGTTGCATTCGCTTGGCGCTCAATTATTTGTAATTCTAGTTTTTTCAACTATTTAATATTATTGCTGCTGTTTATTTATTTAACAATATTATTTACTATGAAAACACCAGAAAAGCCTGTTTGTCATTTGCCGCAACGTGAATGAGAAAGTAAAAGGTGTATAGCTGAGGTAATTAGAAATTAATAAATATCTCATCTGTTCCGCACATATTAAATTGAAAATCATGTAGCTTTGTGCGGACGTGCACTCTAATTTAATTTCTAACGTACTATCCTTAATGTGAAATGTGGACATGGCTTTCAAAATTTCAAACGATTAAATTTTCAGCACTTAATAGAAAAAAAAAAACAAAACATTTTCATAAATGAATTATAGTCCTTTCCGTTTTTCTCTCTATCTCTCTCTCTCTCTCTCTCTTTCTCAGTCTCTTTCCCTCTCTCTTTTGGCAAATCGTTATTGTATAGATTTAGAGGAAAGCTTTCAAATATTTGACAAAAGTATTTTAGAAACAATTTCCATTCCAACGCTACCACTAACGTGCAATTAAATTCAGATAGCAGAGCCAACATCAAAACAAAACATTATTCAATTTTAAAATAAAATTTGTTTTAAACGTTGCACTCTCTCTCAATGTAGCTCTGCATGATAAGCGAAAGTAACTCACTCAGCTTTAAACAAATACTAGCAAGATCTGACTACAGCGCCTTTATTACTAGTCCGAACGAAGGTAACCAAGAATAGAAAGAATTTTAAAATTTCTTGAATAAGAAAAGGTACAGTGCAATGTTACTGTGACTTTTAATATATATCATGATTTTACATACCTTACGGAGACTATGTGCCACGTTGTACGAAAGTCGTGTAAAGTGGCGCAATTACATTATTTCAAAACCCGACTATTCAATGAAACTTTATTTTTTCTTTTTTCTTTTATATAATTACTCAGGTGATGATAGCTACTATAGATGTAACAGGATGACGCTTAGAAAGAAGTAAGAAAAAAAGAAGAGAGATGAGCAGAGAGATGATAAAAGGGATTCCCTTGGGGTTAAATTACACAAACAACAATTATAAATTAGCTGCTCATTGTCCAGGGCTTAGGGACGGACATGAATTAAGGCTGCGTAATATAAGCAAAAAACCGAAAAAGCCCAAATACACCTTTTACTAGAACTATATTATCTTGTGTTGCCTCAATTAAATCAATCTCTTTCCAAAACTTACCAAGCAGGCTTAGCAGACTTGTTATTAGTAGATCCAAGAGTATCATTTTGTTGAATATTAAACTTAGTCGTAATGGAAAGGAACAAAAAAATTCCAAGTTATTTAAATTGTCAGCTTAGAGTCTAATTAGCATCCAATTACTTTGGAAAATATCTGAAAAGAAAATAAAAACAAAATTTTTTAAATTTATTTTAAATTTAAATTAAAATTTAAAAATTTAATTTAGAAATTCCTTTGTTTTTATTTATTTTCGCAAAAATTATGTTGTTATTAGGTAGCCTAGAAATGTCTTGCAAGTTCTTCCGACACCGCGTTAAAATAGTGTTATTCGCAGGTAATTAGACAGATAATTAGGGTTAAAGATATATACAGTTTTGTAGCAGGTGAGAAGTAAATAAAATGTGGAAGATCAAAGTGAGCATATAAGACACATTTTACAATGCTTTATATCAATATCTCTATACTGTGATTACCAAGCGACATCCACATACTCGTAACTGTGTACCAAACGGATGCCCTATAAGTAGGCCTATACACAGGTAGAAATGTTTGAGCTGCGTCTTTTTATGGCGGCACTGTTGACAACGCCATTGATATATATATATATATATATATATATGTATTTATTTATTTATTTATTTTTAAACAAAGGCATATGAACACCGGAAAAGTTGATATATATTTATATATTAATTGATATAAGGTTGATATATACTTTATATATATTTATATATATAAAGGATCCTATATTAAGTCAAACAAGTAACGCAGCGAACAATTTATGTACACTTCCAATGTTTATACCTATACATAGACACATGTATTTATATATTATATGTATATGTATACATACATCAATATTATCTTTGTTTAAAATAGAAAACCGCCCATAATTTTATCTTTCCGTCAGACAATACCGTTAAACGATTGCTGGTTGCTAACGGCAACAAACAACGAAATTCAAAATTTTCCCTTACTTTGAAAGTTGCAAGGGTAGCGTCACTAAAACATATGTAACTTGTAAATGAATGTTTGTCAGGAAATTTTGAGGCAAGCAGTTTGAAGGCTGGTACTATCCAGAAATCGTCAACAGCTTTACCATATATGTGCCAGACAGGAGACTTATTGAGTGATGTGTCAATATATAATACAAAACATGCAGTGTATGATATAAAAAAAAATAGTACACAGTTTAGTTTTCATTCAAGCTGACCGAAAGCAGAAAAGATGGACGGACAGATGAGCTTGTGTAAGTCGTTTAAGAGTCTTGGGTGGAACCATGCATTGCATCTCACGACATTTCTGACGGATTTGGGTGGTGTTTCGTAATGAACTGCTGACTAACTCCAATTTTTCTTTTGTTTGCAATTCATTCATCTCTTTAAAACTTGTGCATACTACTAAGTAAGACGAACATCTTCTACTTGCACTACTGGCCTTCTAAATGCTTTAGTGAGATTTGAAATTCCTCAGTGGAAATGAAACACTTTCGAATGTTACACATTGCACACAACGTATAAAAAAATTGAAACCCTATAACGTTTGTTGGTGTTGTTGTTATGCTTCTTTAATTTATCCTTTCTTAAAAGGAAAAGAGCGCAGACTATCATACATTCAAGTTACATTATTTTCCATCTTAAGCATGCTTCTTCTTTATTTTCCTTTCACATCCATGCCAATTAATTTCGTTGTAAATAAAATACGCCTTGTTGCTGATAAATATAAGTATGAGCGAATCTGTGAGTTCTTACATTTCTCTACTATCCTTCGTCTCTCGCAATGCGAACATAAACCGAAGTATCGATGGTGAGACAAATGGATTTATTTGATTTTAAAAGCAAAATGAAGATAAGCAAGCAAACATTGAAAATTCTTGCGCTTTTATCATATGAAAAGTAGTTCCATAGGTAACGTTAATAGTACATTAGACACAAGCATGGTATATCCAATGTCAACGTATAACTCAATCGCAGCAATATTGTGGAATGATTCTTGATCAACAAACTTTCCACCCGAGCACAGTTCAATAGCATTCGTCTTTGAGTCAAAGCTCGCCAGTACACCAAAGTTCTCAAAAATTGCGATCTGTAGGGTAAACGTCAGGTGAACACGGGGCGAACAAGATCGATTCAGAATCATTTTTCGATTTTGAATCGATTCAAAATATATCAGTATAATAGAAAGTGGATCTATCTTAAGCTATTCCACACAAACTTAATATATCCTGTACCAGAAGCAGTGTACGGCAACATTAAATGCTATGTTAACAAGAGGTTAAGTTAAACCATTTAATTTACAAAGTTAAATGATCTTGTGTGCCGGTAAACAATATCTCTCTACAAATATTTGTCAATAAGTGATAACGCACACTATTTCCATTATTTATGTCTCACAAAAAACACTAAGTCCAGTAATAGACGCACAACTTGCGCCAGAGCTTTCTAGCGTACTCTTCTGGCAATTGAAAGAATATTTTTACTTCAACTTCACTTTTGCCAAAAAAATATGGCGAATACAAAAAAGAACAGACTAATAACTTCTCTTCAATGATAAAGTCAATAATAAATCTTTTGAGCCAAAATTTAACTATAATAGGGATTCGAACATTAGTCAACAGAGCCGTCTTTTGAGTTTGCTAGTTAATGCAACTTCATCAAGATCAGTAGAGCCTACGCCTCCACTAACACCACTTGCGCTACTACCGCAGCAAATCATACATGAGATATTAAGTACTGCACGTAATGTAACTTTATCGCGCAAGTGATGTAAGGTACAATATAGAGAGCGACAATTGATGTGACTATCAATGCCCTCTTCTAAGCTTTGCAAATACAAAATGCCTAAACTCCATAGCTGCACACATGTATAAGTGATTGCTTACAATTATTGAGCGGCCTTTGCGTCAAGTAAATTATGTCAAAGGTATGTAAGTATGTCGAAATGTTCATATGAATAATATACACATGCTGAAGATGTGGAAGACCATACATTGTTCAAATATTTGTTGAGACAAGAATTATGCACAGCAATCAACGTACGGTGTATAAGGCGTATATGCAAAACATCGACGAGTGCCTTTGGGAAAATGATTAAACAATTCACACTAAAAGACCAATGAAAAGAATTTGTATAAAGGTTTAGGCAACTTAAAAAAAATACTAATGAAACTATTATTAACTAAAAATACGATACCCTTCCTGTCGGCATAACAGTCTTTAGTTGCCTTTAAACAAACCTTACTGGATTTGCTTGGAACTGGTAAGCAAATTTCCAACTAAACATTAAGTAGGCTATGTACACGAATGTACTAATCTTCACATTATATGCATTTTCTGATAAATTAAATTCAATCAATTCTGTGATAAATTTTATTATATTCGCAACTTAACTCAAATATCATATCTAAATTTCCTAAGTCGACTGACTTTCTCGATTTGCACAAAACCATATATATTATAATTGAATTAGCTTTGATATTTTTAAATATCCCACATAAGTAGGTATGTATGTATATGCCGCCTTTTATATGGGCTTTGCATGTACGCATCTAATCCTGATGACAATCTGATAGATTTTTCATATCATATCATATAACTGATGAATGAATTTATATTGGTTCGATCGAATTGCACTTACATGATTTTTTACCTTTTTTTATATAATTCTCATAGCCTATGAAATATTATTTTTGCTGCAATAACAGTAATTCTTGTTATTATTATTATTGTTGTTGTTAGTGTTATTATATATCATTACAACGTAGTCATACATGTATAACACAAAATTGTCTTTTTTTGTTTTTGTGCAGCCACATAAATTTGTAAACGAACAATCGTACACACAAAGGAACCATAAAGACACTGTGAGATGTTTTACAGAGCTATGGGAACGTGAACTCTTCAAGTGAGCAAAGTAATTCGGTTTTTGTATTTGTATGTTGCTTCACATCCAATTATTCTTTCCTTAACTTCAATTAGAAAACACATTAATTAGGATAACTTGAAAGGTCACTTTAAGAAATAACCTTAAAGACATCATTTTAATGCAATTTATGTAACATAGGCAGATAGTTCATTATTACATAAATATATGTGAACAAGCGTTGCCTTTATTTAATTCTTATTTACAATAATTTATTAAATTATTAGTTTTTTAAATCACAATAATAAAAAAAAAAATTGTCACATACACTAAATTAATATTCCATTCCATAGGAGCACTGTTTAGAAAACGAATTAACGATATTTTTATGATCCGTTCACCGTATGTCAGTTCAGCGTGCATTTGGTAAAAGATAAAACTAAATTTTCCATTTTCGAATAGGAAGCAGGGAACATATATGTATTTTCACAAAACGAACGTTAACATTGGATGCGCACACAGCATTTGAGGTAAGAGAAAAGTTTTCAATTACAGAGAACTAACAGAAATGCTTTATAAATGTATAACAGTTTTCCCACAATACTTGAGTGAGTTTTTCAAGAGATTTCTTTTCTGTTATTTGCTTATGAGAACTTTATTACTCTTAAACATTTACGGTCCCATATATATAAAAAAAGATTTTCATGCAGGCTACTAAAGAACACCCAGAACCCGATTTAAATCATTCTGTTTATAACATGCCGAAATACGGCAATGAAAATTCATTGAAATATTATGACGTAAAATGGCCCTAGTGACTTTACGTTTTTATCCGCCTACTTTTGAGCTAAAGTTCGTGCCACTGAATTGAGATTTTTAGAAGAGCATAGATCTTAGTTATTAATCGACTTAGAAATCATTTTCAGGAATCTATATTTCCAGCGTTCCCCGATTCATTTCTCTTGGCTCGACTGATTTTGTCTTCCGCAAATACTCTGCATATATATATATACCCTTTGCAAGCAAGTTATCAATCCGAATTTGATTGTAACCTTTTCATGCTAATGTTCGGCGAATTGTTGTTAATCGTCTCGCCAATCGCCAACTGCTTCGGCAGGTAAAGCATTATGAATGCGTATTTGGTTTTACCGTTTTAGGATTTTGTTTTCTTAGATTAGTTTCGATGCAAATCTGTTTTATCAATTTTGGAATTTTCATAACAGCATGTGATTAACGTGCGTTTCTCACAAGGCACTACTTATCGAATAGCAATTTGTAGAATGT